ATGGCCGCGCTGGCCCGGCTGCTGCCGCCGCTGCTCCTGCTCTGCGCACCCCGGCCCCGCGGCTCCAGGTGAGCGCCGAGCTCGGGGGGACCGAGCTTCTCCCCGGGTCTGCCCCCCGAGTGCCCCCCGAATGCGCCCCGTCTCACCCCGTCCCACCCGCACCCGAGTCCGCCCCGGGTCCCTGCCCCCGCCCAGTCCCCGGCCGGACCCCTCTCCCCATCCCGCCCGCGAGGCGCTGTCCGCCGTCCGGTGCTGAACTGGGGCGGGCGGCGGCGGGCGCGGGGGAGCGGCGCCCACTTCTGCCCGGAGCCCGGAGCCCGGAGCCCGGAGCCCAGAGCCCGGAGCCCGGCACTCGGCGGTCCGGCCCGAGGTGCCCTTCCAAGCGCCGGCTGCGCGCTCTGCGGGCGGAGGGAAGGAGGACCGGGAGCGGGAGGCGCTGCCCCCCGCCCTGTGGCTGGGCTCCCTGGTCCCGGTCCGGGCAGGTCTGGCCCCACAGGCTTGGGACAGGAGGGCGGCCTCAGGCTGCCTGGGAGAGAGGGGGGCCGGGGTCTCCTCTCGGGGCCATTGCAAAGGCGCCCCCTGACCTCTGGGTGTGCAGGTGGCAGCCTGCCAGGCGCCCCTGCAGGGGGGGGGATGAGCACCCCCTGCTTTTCTCCGTGGGGACCTGAACTGGGCACCAGCCGCCCAGCGGCCTGAGCCGGGGCCTGGCCACCTCCCGTGGGAGCGGAGGGCCTTCTGGTGAGAGGGCTCTGCAGAGGAACCGGAGCAAAAACAGACACCCCCCTGGCTGGTCGCTCAGTGGTTAGAGAGTCGGCCAAAGCTGAACGGTTGCGGGTTCAAGGGCAGGTACCTGGGTGGCAGGCTCGATGCCCGGCCCTGGTCGGGGAGCGGGCAGGAGGCAGCCGATCGCTGTGTCTCTCCCATGTTGATGTTTCTCTGTCTCGCCCCCTCTATTCCCTCTTTGTAAAAACCATGGAAAAAATATCCTTAGGGGAGGATTAATAACAGCAACAACAAAAAATACACAAAAACCCCAGACAATCCCCACCACCACCTGTATCCAGGGTGTCGCAGTCAGTCCGCTGATGTCAAAGGATGGAGAGCCGTGCGGCCGGCCGCCAGCCTGTGCTGCTGCGAGCTCTCGGGCAGCCCGACCTGGGGGTGCAGGGGCCGTGGGATTGGTCAGAGCTTCCTTGTAGATGGCGTGGAGGCCTGGGCCTGGCAGTGCCGGCCGCAGTGCCCCGGTCCCGGGCAGGGCTGTGCCGTCCTCATCCAGGGGAGCTGTGCCCTTCATCGGCCCCATGGACCTTCCTGCTCCCGCTGCCTCCTGCCCAGACCAGGGAGGGACAGGGGGAGGCGCCCTGATCAGCTGGCGACCCAGGCCCACGGCCACGGCCACGGCCTCTGAAACCCAAGGCTCTCTGAGCCCTAACATCTCGGCCCAAGTGTGACCCCAAAACTCCTCTGGCGGGAAAGCTGTCTCGCTCGGACGAGGGGTTCGTTTGCTGATACCGTCCTGCTTCAGGGCGTTTGTCCGTGTCCGCTGGGGGGCTCTCCAGCCCCCAGGCCTGCACGGGCGCCCTCCACCCTGCTGGAGCCTGACACACTGAACTCCGGCCCGCCTGGCCCCTGGGCGGGGGCGAGCATGGGCCACTCCCGACCGTCCCTTCCACCAGCTCCCTGTCCCCCCTGCCCCCCCCCCCGGAGCAGAGGACTGTGCCCCTCGGGGTCCGGGTCTTCACCCCGCTGCGGGGGCACAGCGGGTCTCACAGGGTGCCTGGTGCCGGTGCGGGCTGCCCAGCGTGGCCAGGCCGGGGTGGGGGAGCACCCTGTGGGGAGGGAAGCAGGAGCTGCAGCATCGGGGTAGGGGCGGTCAGAGCCAGGCCTCCCCCGAGTCCGACCGTCACTCCGCGTGGGCTCCGCTCTGCCAGCTGCGCGCCGTGTGGGTGGCCTTCCTGCTGCCGGCACCTCGTCTCCCTGGAGAAGCCGCGCCCCAGCTCCTGCCTCCGGCTCACCGTGCCGAGCGCTCCTGGCAGCTCGCTTTGCCTTGGTAACTGCCATGCTGGCGGGCGTTGCTCTAAAAACAGAGCCGCCAGGGCCCCGTGGGCTGTGTGTGCGGTGGGGGGCGGGGTCCCAGGGGAGGAGGCCCCGGCTTTGCTCCGTGCACCCACCTTCCCTTCTGTCCCCTCGGGCACAGATGGGGGCAGGCGGCAGGGGGCGAGGTCTGCGGGCACCTAGGGTGCGGGGGGGGGGGGGGGGGCGCGGGAGCCGCTCCGCCCAGAGGTGAGCCAGGCCCAGGCCCCTGCACTTCTGCTCTTCTCCTCAGGGAGGCGGGAAAGGGGGAAGACCCTGCCCAATGCCCAGTAGGGTCCCCGGCCATCATGGGCCAGCAGCTCCCTCCCAACATGCTGTCAGTCACCACAGTCACCTCCCCGCTGAGCTTCCCGAAGGTGCCCCCCCTCCTGCCCCCCAGAACCGGACTAGAACGTAGCACGCCCTCCTGGCGTCTGGACCGCCGCACCCTGCACAGCCGGTGGGCACCGGAGCCTTCCGGATGGGAAGTGATCTCAGGGGGACCCTGTCCCCTAAGCACCCCCCTCCCTGCCCCCCGAGGTCGCAGGGGCTGAGCCATCTCCTGGTCTCCGGCTGCTTCCCGGTGGGGCTGCCCCTGGGGCTGACGGGGCTGGCCCTCGCCCCGTGGGCGTGGGTGGGGTGGGTGGGAGGAGTGTGTCCCCTGGCCCGCAGCCCGAGGCCCGGAAGGACTGCATCTCTGCCGGCCTGGTGCCTGGTGCCGGCTGCGCTGCCGCTGGTGGCAGCTGGGCTGGTCCAAAAATAACGGCTCTTCCCATCCCTCCGAGCGACCTTCAGCGTGGCCTCCCGCGCCCTCCAAACGGCTTCCCGGGGGGACGCCTCTGATGCCTTTTGATCCTTGGCTACAAAGCACGCACACACACACACACACACACACACACACCCGCCCCTGTCCTGGGCCAGCCGTCACCAAGGGGGGCCCAGCCAGGGCACAGGCTGAGGGTCTGTCAGAGTCATCAGCTAAGAAACTCCTGGTTCAAGGTCAACCTTCCTCAAAGGCCACCAGTGAGACAGACCAGGGGCCTCCGAACCCAGGTGGCCCCCTGGTGCTGCCCCCTCCCCCCCAGCACAGGGGGCGGGGCCCGGCGGCTGCCCCTGAGGCTGAGGCCGAGGCTGGGCTGCACACTCAGCCCTGTAACCTCAGCCCTGCCCGCTGCTGCTCCAGAGACGCCAGGCCCTGGTGGCCCCGGCCGGCCAGGCCCCCTCTGTCTCCGTGGGTCCCGTCTGCTCCCCTCCTGGGGGGGAGACAGGCTCCGAGGAAGCACTGGTCGCACGGAGCCCTGGGCTGCAGCAGCCGCACACGGGGCCTCGGCTTGGCTGCAGGACGGGCACTGGGGAGGCGGAGCCGGGGGCCGGCCACCGATGACAAGGAAATGGTCCCTGAGGGAGCAGGATGCGGGGAGCTGGGGGCCCCCACGCGGCTGGCAGGGGGGTGGGAGCCCAGAGGGACGGAGGCTATAGGAGCAGCGTGGGCACCTGGGCAGGCGGCCACACTGCCTTCTGAGGGCGGGTCTGCCTCCAGGCACAGGGAGCCCCGGGCACAGGGAGCCCCGGTGTCAGGGCCCCGGGTCCTGATCTTGGTCCCTCGTGTCTCCCTCACGGGCACAGGCCAGGCCTGGGCCCCAAGGTGACCTTGTCGGGATAGAAGTGCTTCAGAGACTAACAGGAGAGTTATTCATAAAAATGTATATATTCGCCAAAACCCGTGTTGCTCAGTGGATAGAGCGTCGGCCTGCGGACTGAAGGGTCCCAGGTTCAATTCTGGTCAAGGGCATGTACCTTAGTTGCGGGCACATCCCCAGTAGAGGGTGTGCAAGAGGCAGCTGATCGATGATTCTCTCTCATCGATGTTTCTAACTCTCTATCCCTCTCTCTTCCTCTCTATAAAAAAATCAATAAAGTATATATTTTTAAAAATGTGTATATTCATGAATATAAATACACATGTAATTATACTTAAAGGTTTCAGAGAGGAAGGGAGAGGGACGAAGAAACACCCATGAGAGGAAGGAGCTGGACTGCCTCCTGCATGCCCCCGGCTGGGGATGGAGCCTGAAGCCCGGGCATGGGCCGGGACCGGGAATCGAACCGTGACCTCCTGGTTCATAGGTCAAAGCTCAGCCGCTGAGCCACGCGGACAGGGGGAGAGTCATTCTTGGATGCCACCCCCCCTCGTCATGTCATTCCCGGCTCTGCCTTCCCCACGGCGGCCCCCACGGCCGGGTGTGGGTGTGAGCGTGCTGGGGCTGCTAGAAGGAGCGACCACAGACTTGGGGGCCTGGTCCCCTCCCAGTTCTGGGGGCCAAGTCGCCGTCCAGGGTGGGCGGGCTGCTTGCTTCCGAGGCCGCGGGGAGCATCCACACGGAGTCCCTCCCAGCTCCCGGGCCCTGGGCCTGGGCTCCGCTGGGCCTGGGCGGTCAAGGCCCCCCTGCCCCTCCCGGTGTCTCTTCTCCCCAAGCCAGTGTGGCCTCATCCTAACCCATTACTGTGCGAAGACCCCACGTCCGAATAAGTCCCACTCGGAAGTTTTGGGGCCACTGCTCACCCCGGGGCAGGTGAGCGGAAGGAAGGTGGGCGGAGAGTTGCTGGGGAGCCCCATGGTTTGGGCCTCAAGGTGCCCGCCAGGCGTGTGGCACCCATAGGGGCTGCCGGGGTGTTGCTGGGGTTACCCTGCAGCCAGGAGGCGGGCACCCCGCTCCTCCGGGGTCAGGCTCAGCTCCGGAAGCACAAGGCACGTTGGGGGCTCCGGGGCCAGAGGTCAGGAGGCTGCGGCAGCCTCCCCAGGGGCTCCGGGCCTGGCCTGAGGCGGGGTGGGGACCTCAGCTGCCCTCTCCCCCATCTCCCTGGCCCTCAGCCTCCCGGTCCTGCGTCCTTTCTCCGAGTTCCTCCTGCTGGACACTTCCTCCTCAGGCCCTTGTCGGGGTCCCCTGAGGCCTGTGGATGGGAGGCCCTGATGTGGGGGCTCTGGGGCTGGCTGCCCTCCGGGGCCATTGGTGGAGGGAGCCGGGGGGTCCTCCCTGACCAGGCCACACTGGAGGGGCAGACGCTGAGCAGAGGCCGGTGGACGAATGGAGCCGCCCAGGCTCGGCACCTCTCTGTCCCCCGTCCCCTCAGGGTTCCCAGCCCTCGGGCTCTCAGCGGGGGCACCCCGTCCCCCGGCCCTGCTCAGGCCGGGCCCCTCCCCGTGCACCGCCTGTGACCCTGGCCTCCGTTTCCAGGGCGATGAATGACATCGGGGACTATGTGGGCTCCAACCTGGAGATCTCCTGGCTGCCCAACCTGGACCACCTGATGGAGGGCTACGCCCGCAACTTCCGGCCGTGCATCGGAGGTGGGCGGGCGGGCTGGTAGGCGGGCGGGTACCCCTGGCCCGGGCTGGCTCCCCTGAGGGGGCTTTGCACCCTGAGCACTGGCCCCCCAGGGACACTGCTGGGAAGGTGGATCCCTAGGCCTCCTGGAGACTGGTGCTGACATGGCTCCTCCTGCAGCCGCTGGCCACAGCCTGCTACCTGGGCTCTCCTGGCCTGGGTCCATGTGCACGTGTCTGTGTACCCATGCATGTGCACATGCATGTGTATGTGCATGTGTATTACATGCGTATGTGTGCACATGCTTGCATGCGTGTGTGTGGTGTGCGTGTGTGTGTGCGCGCGCGCATGTGCAGGGCCTGGCCTCAGCCCGCTCCCTCCCCGCAGGGCCCCCCGTGAACGTGGCGCTTGCCATCGAGGTCGCCAGCATCGACCACATCTCGGAGGTGAACATGGTAGGTGTGCCCGCCTCCGCCCGCCTGCGCCGCCCCAGGCCGGCGGCTGACGGCAGGCCTCCCTCCTCCCAGGAGTACACCATGACGGTGTTCCTGCACCAGAGCTGGCGGGACAGCCGGCTGTCCTACAACCACACCAACGAGACGCTGGGGCTGGACAGCCGCTTCGTGGACCGGCTGTGGCTCCCCGACACCTTCGTCGTCAACGCCAAGTCCGCCTGGTTCCACGACGTGACGGTGGAGAACAAGCTCATCCGGCTGCAGCCGGACGGCGTCATCCTGTACAGCATCCGGTGAGCTGCCGGCCGGGAACCGGGCTGGGGGGCGTTACACCCTCCGCCAGCAGCCTCTGCTCAGCACACGGCGACGGTGGGGGTTGCCAGAGGCACCGGCCGTTCAGCTTCTGGCAACACGGCCACCACCTTTTTTTTTTTTTTTTTTTTAAATATATTTTATTGAATTTTTACAGAGAGGAAGAGAGAGGGATAGTCAGAAACATCGATGAGAGAGAAATATGGATCAGCTGCTTCCTGCACACCCCACACTGGGGATGTGCCCACAACCGAGGTACATGCCCTTGACCGGAATCGAACCTGGAACTCCTCAGTCCGCAGACTGATGCTCCATCCACTGAGCCAAACCGGTTTCAGCAAGCCACCGCTTTTTAAAAAAAAAAATTCACATGGCATGAGATCATGGTTCTCAACCTTCTTGAAGCCTCAGCCCTTTAATACAGCCCCTCAAGCTGTGGTGACCCTCAGCCATAGCATCATTTCCGTTGCCACTTCATTGCTGTAATTTTGCTGCTGTTATGAACCGTCATGTAAATATCTGTGTTTTCCGATGGTCTTGGGCGTTGGGCGACCCTGCCAGCGGCTCCCAACCTGTGGGTGGTGACTGCAAAATGCCAGTTAGGAAGCAGCAGCGGAAATGATGTTATGGTTGGGAGCTGTGTTAAAGGGCCCCGGCATTAAAAAGGTTGAGAACCTCTGCATAAGAAGAACCCTTTACAAAGGAACAATTCAGCCCTGGCCGGTGTGCTCAGTGGATAGTGTCGGCCTGTGGACCGAAGGGTCCGGGGTTCGATTCCGATCAAGGGCAGGTACCTCGGTTGTAGGCTCCTCCCCGGCGCAGACCCTGGTCAGGGCTCGTGCAGGAGGCCACGGATCGATGTGTCTCTCTCACATCGATGCTTCTCTCCGTCTCTCCCTCTCTCCTCCACGCCCCCTAAAATCAGTGGGAAAATACCCTCGGGTGAGGATTAAAACAAACAGTTCAGGGACACAGACGCCACCATACTGTGCCATCTTCGCCTCTGACTAGCTCCAGGACATGTCATGCCCCCAAAAGGGGACCCCGGGCCCGTGATGTGGTGGCTCCCCGCCCCACCCCCCAGCACCCCGGAAGCCTGCAGCCTCTGTCTGGGCACCTGCCCCTCTGCACACACTTTGTACAGACGCACCTCACACCGGGACGCCATGTCTGTTGCCTGCTTCGTGGGTCCACGTGGCGTCTCTGAGGCGCAGCCACGTCGGAACTCGGATCACGGCTCCATTCCTCTTCATTCCTCAGGGCTCCTGGGAGGGGCCCTCAGGCGGGCACAGGGCCTCTGCCCGGGGGGTCGGCTGGTGCTTCATTGGGGTGCCCCCGCTTCTGCCTCTCCTCGTCCATCCATGGACGCCGGGCCGTGCCCACCTTGGGCAGCTGTGGGCGGCATTGCTACGCACGTGTGTGTTCGTGTCATGGAGCATGTGTTTTCCGACACACGCCTTTTTAACGTGGAATTAATTGCCAACATTTTGAAAATCAGGAATTTTTTTTTTAATTTACATAGGAATCTAAATTATCTAAATTCATTTGGAAAACCAGGCCGCTGGGCCACGGACAGCATTTTTTTTTTTTTTAAGTTGGAGAGCCACTGGATTAGAGTTTTAATTTAATTTAATTTAAAACAAATATTTTATTGATTTTTTACAGAGAGGAAGGGAGAGGGATAGAGAGCTAGAAACATCGATGAGAGAGAAACATCGGTCAGCTGCCTCCTGCACACCCCCCACTGGGGATGTGCCCACAACCAAGGTACATGCCTTTGATCGGAATCGAACCCGGAACCTTTCCGGTTCTTTGGCTCTATTCACTGAGTCAAACCAGTTAGGGCCACGGACAGCATTTTGAAGGATGAAGAAAGTGAATGAAATTTAGTCCTTCATTTCTTTAAAAAAAATTTTTTTTAAATTGATTTCAGAGAGGAAGGGAGAGGGAAAGAGAGATCGAAACTTCAATGATGAGAGAGAATATTGACTGGCTGCCTCCGGCATGCCCCCCACTGGGGATCGAGCCCAAAACTCAGGCCTGTGCCCTGACCGGGAATAAAAACCACGGCCCCTTTCGTCCAGAGGCCGACGCTCTGCCCACTGAGCCACACCGGCGGGGCCCGTCCTTCACTCTTAAAGGAAGACCCACCCATTCTCTGTCCACCCAGGAGCCACCCAGGCCCACGGGTGAGGCCGGGGCTCCTGGGAGGGGCCCTCAGGCGGGTACAGGGCCTCTGCCCGGGGGTCGGGGAGCTGCTGGCCTCCATGGCCCGCCTCCCCCAGACCCATGCCCTGTCGTCCGCACAGAATCACGGCCACAGTGGCCTGCGACATGGACCTGGCCAAGTACCCCATGGACGAGCAGGAGTGCACGCTGCACCTGGAGAGCTGTGAGTGCCCCCGGCCCCGGGACCTCGCTGAGGGCGGGCAGGCCGCCTGGGGAGGGGGACCTGGGCTCATGCCAGCTCCTCCGGCCCCGCCGGCCACCGAGGCCGCCCTGGCTCCGGTGCCTGTGCTCCCGGCGCCCCTGGGCGGGCAGGGTCTCCGGCTGCGGGCGGGGGCTGGGCTCGGGCCGCCACCGCCCACGCGGGCTCTCCCGCAGACGGCTACTCGGCCGAAGACATTGTGTACTACTGGTCGGAGAACCAGGAGCAGATCCACGGGCTGGACAAGCTGCAGCTGGCGCAGTTCACCATCACCAGCTACCGCTTCGCCACGGAGCTCATGAACTTCAAGTCGGGTAACGGGGCCCCCGCCGGCTCCGGGGACCTGGGGGTCAGCGGCGGCTGCTGGGGGGCAGGGTGCGCCTGGGCCAGCATTCCTCCGTCTCACTCCTCAGTCCTTGGCCACTTCCCGGGAGTAGCAACGCATTGAGTGTGGGGGCCCCCTGAGGGGTGCAGGGTGCCCCCCGGAGCCCCAGGATGCAGGGGCCGGGGCCAAGCCTTGGGGGGCTGCCTCTCATGGGGCCTGTGAGTCCAGCCCGTTCTTTCCCTGAGCTCAGCCGTGAAGGGCAGGGCCAGGAGGGGAGGTCCCTCTGGGAGATCTTGCCATTCTCCCCTCCCCCCGCTCCTCCCTCTGGGTGGCCAGGCTGTGGGGGGTGGGGTGAAGGTAGGGGGCTGGGGTCTCCCTTTCTTCTGAGGCTCGCAGGGGCCGAGGGCCGTGGTAGGGGTGGGGGAGGGGCAGGATGGTGCTGGGTTTGATGGCTCCCTCCCCCCTTCCTTCCCTTCCCTCTTCCCTCTCCCCTCTCCCCCTCCCCGCAGCCGGCCAGTTCCCCCGGCTCAGCCTGTACTTCCACCTGCGGAGGAACCGGGGCGTCTACATCATCCAGTCCTACATGCCCTCCGTGCTGCTGGTCGCCATGTCCTGGGTGTCCTTCTGGATCAGCCAGGCGGCCGTGCCCGCCAGGGTGTCTCTAGGTACGAGCCCGGCTGCCCACTGGGGAGCTGGGGGACGGGACGGGCAGGACCGGGACCCGTCAGCCACGAGCCCAGGCCCAGCCCCGGCCCCCCGGGCCGGCCGCCCTCGTGGCAGTGGGATCACCACCCCTGCCTCCCGCAGGCATCACCACGGTGCTGACCATGACCACCCTGATGGTCAGCGCCCGCTCCTCCCTCCCGCGGGCCTCGGCCATCAAGGCGCTGGACGTGTACTTCTGGATCTGCTACGTGTTCGTCTTTGCCGCGCTGGTGGAGTACGCCTTCGCCCACTTCAACGCCGACTACCGGAAGAAGCAGAAGGCCAAGGTCAAGGTCACGGAGCGGAGGGCAGAGGTGAGGGCCAAGGTCAAGGTCACGGAGCTGGGGGCAGGGGTGAGGGTCAAGGTCATGGAGCGGGGACAGATGTGAGGGCAAATGTCAAGGTCACGGAGTGGAGGGCAGAGGTGAGGGCCAAGGTCACGGAATGGAGGGCAGAGGTGAGGCCAAGGTCAAGGTCATGGAGCAGAGGGCAGAGGTGAGGCCGGGCTATGCTGGTTCCCTGGAGCTCAGGACCAAGGACAGCACCTTTCCTGTGCCTGCCGGACCCCCTACCGCCTGCTCCTGCCGCTCCCCCTGGGTCACGGAGCTGCGGGCAGGGTGGGGTCCTGCGTGGCCGCCTTGGCCACCTCAGTCCGGCTGCGGGCTCAGCTGCCCCCTCCCCGGCAGGTGGACATGAAGCACGCCATCGTGCTGTTCTCACTCTCGGCCGCCGGCGTCTCCCGGGAGCTGGCTGTGTCCCGGCGGCCGGGCCACCTGCCCGGGGGCCTCCTGGGCTCCTACCGGCCCGTGGAGGTGGAGGTGGGGGCGGCCGAGAGGCCGGGGGGCCTCCGCGCCCTCCTCAGGCCCATCGACGCGGACACCATCGACATGTACGCCCGCGCGGTCTTCCCCGCCGCCTTCGCCGCCGTCAACATCGTCTACTGGGCGGCCTACGCCCTGTGAGGCCGCCGCCCGGCACAGCCTCCGGGGCGCGGACCTCGCTTGGCTCGGACTGGAGGCCACGACGGGAGGGACACTGGAGGGACACCGCGGCCCCCAAGCCTCTGCCGGCTCACCGCCCGGAACCCCACCCTGCGCCCCCCCACCCCCACCCCGCCTGCAGACACCAGCCCAGCTCCTCGTCCCCAGCAGCAGACCGCCTGACGGGAGGCTGAGCCCATGGGGACCACGCCCTGGACTTGGAAAATGCCCCCCCCCCCCGGGCTGTCCGTCTGGAGGGTTGAACTGGGAGAGGAGGCAGCTGGGCGTGGGGGTGCTCGCTGCCGGATGGGCGGGGGGAGGGGGGGGCGCCGGGAGCCTCTGGTGCAGCATGAAATAAAGAGAAGCCTGGGGCCGTGGCCTCGCTCCCAGCCGCCGGCAGTGCTGCCCGGGCGCCGAGGGCCCTCCTCCGGCCGTGGCTCGGTGGGCACCGGGCGGCGGGACTCGAAGACAGACACTGGAGCCCCAGAGGCTGAGCCACGTGGCTACGTCCGGGCTGTCGGTGGGAGGGCAGAACTTACGGGGGGTGGTTCCAGGAGTCACGGCGGCTCCCCTGTCTGGGTCCCACGGCCGTGGTGCCCAGCGGTGCCTTCTTGGAGGAGGCGATGGAGGGCAGAGGCCATCGGTCCCCACAGACCCCGGCCCCTTCCCAGCTCTACTGCCTCTGGGGCGCAGGGAAAAGGTCACAGCTCTGCAGGGGACCCGGCCGGCAGCTCTGAGAGGGTCCGGTGTCCGCTGCTGCCCCCGGGCGGGAGGGAGCCGAGTGCAGTCAGAGGGCAGCGTGCGGGCGGCTCTCCTTGTGGCTGGAGGCTGGCTCTGTGGGCAGGGTTGCCAGCTGCAGGTCCCACTGTGCCAGGGGGCCCTCCAGGGAGGCAGCCCACCTCCTGCCATCTCTAGGGGTGCTTGCTGGGCATCACTTCTCCCTGGCACACCTCCCGTGTTCCCGGCCGTGCGGGAGAATCCTGGGGTGGCTCCCCCACAGGCAGGGCGGCCACAGAGGTCCGGGCGCTCCCCCAGCTGCTCCCCAAAACGCCGCTCCTGCCGGGGGCAGAGGTGGGTGCTGCCCGCCCCCCCCAAATCACAGATGGGGCTCACCCCCTCACCTCTAGCCCAGCTCTAGGCTCTGCCCCCTAAAGATCCGTCCTGGCACCTGCTGCCCCTTTGCCACCTGCTCCCTGGCCCAGGCTGTCTCTCTCCTGGCGGGGGGTGAGGGGGTGGGGGAGAGAGGCCGAGAGCCGGGTCTCTGGCTGCAGCGTGAGCAGGAGCTGGGAGCCGGCAGAGAGAGCAGGTGGCCCAGCTCAGCGGAGCTGGATCTGGGTCAGCCGGGCTCCCGGCCACCTCCGGACCGCAGGGGGTGCTGTCCCAGCCCCGCCAGCCCCGCGGGCAGACGGACAGACGGACAGGCCGATGGGGACAGAGCTGTCCGAGAGCAGCAGCCCCCTCTCCCTGCCCCCGCTCAGCACCCCTCCATCTGGGGGACTCCGGCCGGGCAGGTCACCGCTCCCCTTCTTCCTGGGAGTTCCCGGGGCGGCACGCTGAAGGTGCCGGCGGGGTCCACACGGCGGACCCTCCTCCTCCCGGCACCCAGGTCCTGCCCGGGCCTCCGAGGACAGACCGGGAGCTGCTGGCCCCCCTGGTGCTGAGGTCGGCGGCCACTCCAGCCGCTGCCAGGATGCCACCCGCCCCACGCCCTCCGCCCGCCCCGCTGGCAGGCAGGCTGCCTCCCTGAGCCGCCCGGCCCACGGGGAGCTATTTACAGCCGCTCTGAGCCGCCGCCAGCTCCCACGCGGCTTCAGCTTTGCCGGATCCTCACAGCAGCCCCCTCCCCCGCCGGCCGCAGGCGGCTATTTCTGCCGTGTTTACCGGGAAAAGAGCCGGGAAGAGGCTTTTAAACGGAGTTCTATTCTGGTGACGGGGCCGAGGAAGGCCGGGCGGGCGGAGGGGGGCTGGCAGCTGAGGGGGCGGCTGGGGAGCAGGGCGGCTGGCCGGGTGGGTGGGGCGGTGGCGGCTCCCCAGGCGCCCCCCTTCTGCAGCGCTTGTCTTTGGGAGCCGATGTCCCTGTCTGTGTCCCTGGTGAGTCCGGAATGCACAGGATCAACGGACTCTTAAAAAAAAAAAAAAAAAAAATATATATATATATATATATATATATATATATATATATATTTATTGATTTCAGAGAGGAAGGGAGAGGGAGAGATAAAAACATCGATGAGAGACGAAACTGGTGTGGCTCAGTGGATAGAGCATCGGCCTGTGGACTGAAAGGTCCTGGGTTCGATTCTGGTCAAGGGCATGTACCTTGGTTGTGGGCACATTCCCAATGGGGGGTGTGCAGGAAGCAGCTAATGGATGTTTCCCTCTCATCGATGTTTCTAACTCTCTCTCCCTTCCTCTCTGTAAAAAATCAATAAAATATATTTAAAGCACACACACACACACACACACACACATCGATGAGAATCTCCTATTGGTTGCCTCCTGCACGCCCCACAGTGGGAATGGAGCCCACAACCCGGGCATATGCCCTGACTGGGAATTGAACCGTGACCTCCTGGTTCATAGGTTGATGCTCACCACGGAGCCACGTGGCTGGGCTCACTGATGCTCCCCTGGACAGCTTTCCCCCAAAGCCGGGAGGGGGCGGTCAGGGACCGCACCCGGCTTCCCCCTCTCACCCGGAGCCGAGGAGGGACAGCCCGGACCCCCCTCTCCAAGCGAGGCGGGTACACAGCGCCTGGGTCCCTCAGAGCCGGGTCTGAGCGGAGGACGGGTGCGGGGGGTGTGTGTGTGGGGGGGGGGGGGTGCCAGTGCCCTGGGGCTGGCGTCTGCTCTCCCCGGGTCTCAGCCCAGAATCCACGCCCTGCTGCGGGCAGGCACTTCCTTCTGAGGAGAGCAGCCCCCCACCCCCACCCCGTGCCGGCACCCCACTAGCTCCTCCACCGCCTGCACTTCAGGGCGTCCTCAGCGCGGAGTGCACCGCTGGCTCTGCGTCCAGAGTCACGTGGCCTTGTCCTGTGCGTGTCCTCGCCACGTGTGACCTCGTTTTGACTAATCACAGCGGCAGAGGCCCTATTTCCAACACGGCCTCGTTCTGAGGTTCGGCGTGAACATGGATTTTGGGGGACACTGTTAACCTTGTCCAAGGGTGCCTGTATATGTGTGCCTGTGTGTGCACCTGTGCCTGAGCACATACATGCGTGTATAGGTGCCCAAGTGTGTGTACACACGTGTGCATGTGTGTATGTGCATACGTGTGCATGCATGCCTGCGTTGCGTGTGTGTAGGCTTGCATGTGTGAGTGTGCAATGTGAAGTCTCAAAGGTCACCCAGAGCCTGTGGTGGACTTCGCTCTGCAGCCAGCCACGCCCCCGCCCCAGCCCTGCCCTGACGGGCGGACCTGGGAGGCACACGGTTTGTTTTCCGGTTCTCTCCCTGAAGTGGAGCCGCCGAAGTGGCGCCTGATTCCCAGTGACAGGAGCCCCTTCAGTCTCACTCGGGGTGCCTTCTGTCGCCTCCTTTCTAGAAGGCACCCCAGCCCCCCTCTACGCACCCTGCCCAGCAGCCCTCACAGGGGGAGGCCTGGAGATCCTCCTGCTCTCCCTGCACCCGCCCTGAGTCCTCTACAAGCAGCGCCGGGTGCTGGCCGCCGTCTGTCTGTGAGCGGAAGCAGAGGAGACGGGGAGAGGGCTCAGCGAGGTGGCGGCTCGGGCCCCGAACCCAGAGCTCACTCCCCATGGGGACAGGCCCGGCTCAGCTGGCTCTGCCACTGCGTCTGCCGTGAGGCCTCAGTCAGCGGTGATCCTGTCCATCTTCATCTGGCAAAGGAGTGTGCACCCACAAAAGAGCATGCACCCACAAAGGAGCGTGTGCAATGGCCACGGCGTTGCCATGGTGACTGAGGTTTGGGGTTCTGTCTCCAGGCGTACCAGGCCAGTTGGATTTAAATAGACTCCAGGCAGCAGGGGAAGGGAAAGTGGGCCAGGCCCCAACTCCCGGCACCTCCTGCCTCGGTCTCCCCGGTGGGGGGGGCGGAGAGGAGGCTCTGACCCAGCGGCTCCCAGGCCCAGGAGAATGACACAGTCAGGGCTGGTCAGCAGGAGAGATGAGCAGCTTGTCCCCAGGGGCCAGCCAGAGCTGCCAGTCCGTGGGGTCCAGCCCTGGCTTTGCCAACCCTGTGACCCTGGACAAGGCACGGGGCACCCCGGACCCTCAGTCTCCTCTGGAGCATGGTGCGGGAATGCCACATCCCCGAGGTGCCAGAGGCCCCCGAGGTCGCTGGGGGCAAGCAGGCAGGGCCCCTTCCCAGGCTGGCATGGGGGCTGCGTCAGGAACGTGGCACGGTCAGAGCCCAGCCATGCCCTCAGCTGCACCCACCCACTGGGAACCACTGGGGTCCCTTCCTTCTGCCACGTCCCTCCTGCGCCCTCTACTGGGGACGCGCAGCACTGCGCTCTGGAGCAGGGGATGCCAGCAGCTGCCCCACCACCGCGAGGGGTGAAATACCAGCCCTGCAGGATACAGACCTCCCTGCGGGGACCGCCACAGCCACGGGGGGTCAATAGCGACTCTGGAGCTGAGAGGCGCTGATTAGTCACCGGCACACGGATGCCCGCAGACACGCCTGTATAGACGCACACACGCAGACAACTGAGAAACGCACAGAGCCACACCCGGGCCCCAAAGCCCGCAGAGTTGGGGCGCCCCTCTGCCCCCCTCCTGGGCAGGACCTCGCACAGCGAGACAGAGATGGAGCCACCTTTGTTGAGAACTCCCAGGGCCATGACCCCGGCTCCCCACCCTCCTGAAGGCGGTCCAACACTTCGCAGCTTCACCTGCGCCTCACCTGCTGCCCGCCCGCTCCCTGCGGCCACAGGACCTTTGCTCAGGCCGGCCCCTGCGTGCCCTGCTCTCCCTGCTCCCCACTCCGCATCCTCAGGTCCCACAGCGCCCTCTCTGGTGGGGCCTGGTCAGACCTGACCTCTCCAGCTGCCACGTCTGTGTGACTCTGTGTGTGGCCTCTGTGTGACCGGTGTGCCGGGCCATGAGGGAACATCCACGTCTGGGGGCTTCCCGCTGCGCCCTGGCACAGCGTGGGGCCCCGGTCGGCCTCAGTGAGCACCTGTCGGATGAACGAGGGAACAAGGGCAGTGAATGCCATCACCTGAGGGGTTTCTCCAGATCCCGTGATCCGTGATGAGGAAGGCAAGCCTCCCATTCCTCCACGGCTGCGTGGGCCAGGCACCCGCTAGCAGGTGTCCTGGGCTCTTCCTGTCCCCAGCTGAGCTCTGCCTCCCCCCCTGCCGAATCAGCTCACGCCGCCAGGATGACCAGAACCCCAGCTCCCGGCTCCACCAGGGCCACGCCCACAGCCAGTCCTTCCTGGGCACGGATGCCCTCTGTGAGCTGCCATGAGGGTGGTGTGGCGGGCGGGGTGGGGAGGTTCTGGGAAGGGCCTGGGAGGACAGCGACCCACAGGAAGCTTCGGTCTGAGTCTCACTGAGCACATCCTCCCCCCAGCAGGAAAGTATCATGGTTAAGAATGTTTATTGATGCCCTGACCGATGTGGCTCAGTGGATAGAGCGTCGGCCTGAGGACTCAAGGGTTCCAGGTTTGATTCCGGTCAAGGCATGTACCCTGGTTGCGGGCACATCCCCAGTAGGGGGTGTGCAGGAGGCAGCTGATTGATGATTCTCTCTCATTGATGTTTCCAGCTTTCTATCCCTCTCCCTTCCTCTCTGTAAAAAGTCAAAAAATATATTTAAGAAAAAAAAAGAATGTTTATTGAAGAAAATCAGAGGGTGCAGCTGGGGGTTGGGGGTTGGGGATTGGAGGTTGGGGGGGGACTCGGTGGAAGGCCATGTGGCCCCACTCTGCCCTCTGCCAGCCTGGCCACCCTCCTCCACCCTTCGGCCTGCACCTGGCGGGAAAGCCACTACCCTGCATCGCCCTCCAGACCCGGGAAGGCGGGGACGGAGGGCTGGTGGCCTCCCGGCGAGTGTCAGGGGGAAGGCAGGTCGGGCGGGGAGGGCTCGCAGCTTCACGTTGTAACCGTCAAAACCACACGACACGCCTGGTGGCCGTGGTAGTGGGTGAGGTGGTGGAACATTTGGGCAAACAGAAACTGCCGGAGGAGAACAGACCTACCCTCAGCGGTGGCCTGTCCTGGCCGAGCTTCTCCAAGGTTCCTCCCGGCTCCGCCCACCAGAGGCGCTGGGAGTCCCTGCACTGGGTCTTCCTGCCTCGGACTGCAGGAGGAGGAGAGGCAAAACCGTCTAGGGACCCCTAAAACGGGGCCTGGGGTCCTAGCAGGCTAGCCTGCCCCAGCACTTCCCCTATGCATCCACACTCATTCATCCATCCATCCACCCACTCATTCATCCATCCATTCACCCACTCATTCATTCACCCATCCACTCATTCATTCATTCACCCACTACTCATCCATCCATCCATCCACTCATTCATCCATCCATTCCCCGGAGCCAGGTGCTGGAGACATGGGAACACAGTGGAGACCCAGCTGGAGGGGTTGGTGAGCGGGAAATTTGGGAACCGCCACCCGATCTAATCATCGGACCAGAGCAGGCGGTTGACACAGCGATGGGCACATCTGTGTCAGGACCACACCCTCTGCCCTCGAGGCCCCAGTGGGTCCCCCAAACCGTGGAGGTGTTTTGCACAGACGGACTGGTGTCTAAGCACAAGGCCCAGAGCAGAGTGCGGGGCCTGGCCAGTGGTCCCCACTGGAGGTTCAGGCCGGGCGGGAATCTGGAAACGTGTTGAGGGCGGAAAGATCCAGACTTGCAGGTGGGAGGTGTCAGAGGGTGGCGGCAAAGGTGCTACCCAGGTCTTCCCGTTGAGGCCCTGGGCAGGGTGGGGCTGGCCCAGGGGACCCCGTTTCCTTCTATGACTACAGAGCAGAGCATGGCAGAGGGGGGAGGTGGGAGGGCTGTGCCATGGGGGTCAGGCTCAGGGGTCAGAGGGCACTGGGGGCCAAAGCCTGAGGGGAGGAAGCAGCAGACATGGGGGGAGGGGGAGAGGGAGTGGCATGCTAGGGTTGAGACATTCCTAAGGGACCCGGCAAAGGTCATCCAAGAAAAGTCTAAGGATTGATCATCGTATTGAATTTATTTATTTTTTTTTTTATTTATTTTTTATTTATTTTTTTTTATATATTTTATTGATTTTACACAGAGAGGAATTGAGAGGGACAGAGAGTTAGAAACGTCGATGAGAGAGAAACATCGACCAGCTGCCTCTTGCACACCCCCTACTGGGGATGTGCCCACAACCAAGGTACATGCCTTTGACCGGAATCGAACCCGGGACCTTTCAGTCCGCAGGCCGACGCTCTATCCACTGAGCCAAACCGATCCCGGCTTGAATTTATTTTATATTAATTAAAAAAAATATATTTCATTGCCGAAGCTGGTTTGGCTCAGTGGTAGAGCGTCGGTCTGCAGACTGAAAGGTCCCAGGTTCGATTCTGGTCAAGGGCATGTACCTTGGTTGCGAGCACATCCCCGGTGGGGGGTGTGCAGGAGGCAGCTGGTCGATGTTTCTCTCTCATCGACGTTTCTAGCTGTCTCTCCCCCTTCCTCTCTGTAAAAAATCAATAAAATATATTTAAAAAAAACACCCTGATTTTAGAGAGAGGAAAGGAGAAAGAGAATGTCGACTTGCTACTTCACTTACACACGTGTCCACTGGTGGCTCTTGTTTGCGCCCTGACGAGATCGGACCCACAACCTTGGTGAGCGGGGGAGGGCGCTCTGACCCGCTGAATTAGGGTCTGGGCCAGGGCGACCCTTTATGTAATACACAGGCTCCTGGGGGCGGGGCGGCTGGGCAAAGTGGGGGTGCAGTGGAGGTGAGGAATGTACCCTCCCCCCCATTCTGCAGGGAGAGGAGCCGGCAGGGGCAGGGGGTGGCGGGTGCGGGGTGTGTTTTGTAAGGAGGGAGGGCTCCCAGCGCTGAGCAGGCGAGCGGCAGGCTCTCAGCAGGTTTCTCTGCGCTGCCTCCAGTGGCCCAGGGACTGCCCGCTGGGTGCCCCTCCGGCGCCTGGCACACGGAAGTGGCAGGAAGCATCCCAGGAATGAAAGAGCGAGGCCAGGCGAGGAGAGGCCAGGTGAGGCCTGTCCAGGTGAGGCGTGTCCAGGCGAGCGTGTCCTGTGAGGGGCAGTGAAGGCTGGGCAGGCAGTGTGGGGGCGGGGGGAGGCCGCAGCATTTGGCGGGGTGGCCGCGGGGCTGCAGACCTGGGCCCAGCGGGGGTCTTGCCAGCAGCGGACACGGGTCCTGTGGACGGAACAGACCTCACATTCAAGAGGAGGGGGCCTGGGATGCGGGGGTCGTGTTCAGAGGCGCCTGTCCAGCTCCAGGGCCAAGAGGGGCGTCGTGGACTCAGAAGGAAGGTCAGGGGCCAACGGGGCCAGCACTCCTCGTCCGGGAGCGGCGGCCTCCGGCGGCGGCCTCCGGTCGGCGCTCCTGGATCCGCAGGGCGGAGGCGGCCGAGCCGGACCACCGGCCGGGCCTCTGCTCCTCAGCTCCGCTCCCCTCACCGGTCAGCTGGCCCGACGGGAGGCCGCCGCCGGAGCGCACTGGGGTTCAGGGGTCCGAGCTTCTGACCGCACTGCGCCTCGGGGAGGCCGAGGTTCCTCTCCGCCCCCCCCCCCCCGAACTCCCCGCTCCCCACGCAGGTCACCGGCGACCCTCCTCGCGGTCCCTCCATCCGCGCTCGCCACGGAGTCGCCGGGGCCCTGGGGCACCGACGGCCAGCGTCTCCATCCAGCGGGTTCGGGCGCGCGGGCGGCGTTTCCACGTCCCGGGGCCCTGGGGCGCGGGGAACCCTCCCGGGGGACCTCCCGGAGCCGCGGGCGCCCCTCCCGGAGCCGCGGGCCAGGGGCGCTCTGGCGGACCGCCCCCCACACGGCCGGGAGGAGGTTGCCGGGCAGAGCGTGGACGCACGCGCTCCCATTGGCCGCAGGTGGGCCCCGCCCCGCCCCGCCCCGCCCGACAGGTAGCGGCCCGCGCGGCGCCATTGGGCCGCGGCCCCGGGGCCCCCCCCGGGGATTGGCCCAGGTGGCGGCCCCGCCTCGCCCTAATTGGCCGCAGGTGGGCCCCGCCCCACCTCGCCGACAGGTAGCGGCCCGCGCGGCGCCATTGGGCCGTAGCCGCGGGGCCCCCCGGGGATTGGCCAGGTGGCGGCCCCGCCTCGCCCTCATTGGCCGCAGGTGCCACCGCCCCCGCCCGGGACCGCCCGCCCCGCCGATTGGCCGCCGTCCGGTCGCCATGTTCGGACCCCCCCGCCCCGCCCCGCGGGCCTCCAGCCGGAGTCCGCGCCCCGCCCGCGGCGCCGCCCAGCCCGGCCCCGCACGCCGCCCGGGTTCCGCGGGGTCGCCCCGACCGACGCCCGCGCCGCGCCGCGCGCCCTTCCGCGTTCCCGCCGCCCCACCTGCGTCCCCCAGGCCGCGGGGCCCTCCATGGCCCGAGCGCCCGGGGCGCGGCGCTGACGGGCCGGAGCGCCATGCCCAGCCGGACGGGCCCCAAGATGGACGGGAGCGGCGGCCGCGTCCGCCTCAAGGCGCACTACGGCGGGTGAGGGCCGCGCGGGCGCCGGGGTGGGGGCGCGGGGCGGGGGCGCGGGGCCGGCGGCCCGGGGAGCGGGAGGTCCGGACGCCCCGGCGCCGGGCGGCGGCCTCGGGTCCCCCCGCCCCGCGCCCGGGGCTCCCTGCGCGGACTGCGGGGGCCCCGCGGCGCCCTCGCCCTGGCCGCGGCGACAGTTTCTCTGGAAAGTTCGCCGGAACCTTAAGGTCACAACCTGCAGAGGCTCAACTGTTGTCCGAGTGGGAACCGCGGGCGCCTCTTGCGAACCGGGGTTTCCCAGGCGTCCCCGCCGCTCCGGCCGCGGTCCGGCTCAGGGCGCCGGGGCCGGGCCCCCCGGGCTGGACCTTCCGGGGACGGACAGCCTGGAGTGGGCGAGCGCCGGGCCCCGGGACCCCGCCGCCCCCCGCGGGGCAGGCGGCGCCGGAGGAGCGGTGCCTGCGCGGCGCGCCCTCCGCCCGCGTGGGTCCCGGTCACCGGCCTGGGGTCCCGGAGCCGCACCGGCGCCGTCGGCCCCCGCCGCCCGGAGTAGCGAGCGAGGACCCTGCGGCGCGCCGGGCCGGCCCGCCACAGCCCCCCGCTCCGCGGGGCCGGAGGGACCCTGAGGCGGGTGGCGGCGGAGCGGCCCTCCCGGAGGGAAGGAGGGTTCTGGGGGAGCTGGCCCGCCCGCCAGCCCCGCTTCTAGTCCGGCGCGGAGGGGGGCGGAGGAGCCCGGCGGGTCCTGGATCCGCCAGGAGCCGGAGCCTGTCGGCCGGCCGGTGGGTGGGTGGCGCCTCCATCCCGGTGCGCAGGGACCCGACAAACGGGAGGACCCTTCCCGAGGGGACGTGCGCGCCCGAGGCCTGGGGGGTGGGTGGTAGGAATTGCCCTCGGGCCACCGGGGCGCTGAGCCTGGGCTTTGGGATGGGAGCTGGTCTGGGGGAAGTTCCCAGACGCAGGGGAGGTTCTGGGCGGCCGGGCCACCCATTCCCTCCGCCACCCCATTCCGGCTCTGCCCCTGGAGAGAGCTTCGGTTACCAGGAGAAATGTGACCTGTTGAGTCTGGTTTCCCCAGCGGATGAGGCCACGCCCCACACTCTTTCCTCTTCCTTCCCTTCCCGACCTCTGCTCCCTTCCCCTCCCCTCTTTCCCCTGCCCTCTTCCTCCCTCTTCCCCTCCCTCTTCCCCTCCCTCTTCTCCCCTTCCTCTCTTTCCCCTGCCCTCTTCTTCCCTCTTCCCCTCCTCCTCCCCCTCATCCCCTCCCTCCTCCTCTTTTCCCCTCCCTCTCCCTCCCTCTTCCCCTCCCTCTTCTCCCCCTCCCCTCTTTCCCCTGCCCTCTCCCTCCCTCTTTCCCTCCCCCCCCTCCTCACTCCTCCCCACCCCTCTTTTGCCCTGGGCTGCACTGTCTCAGACCCAGCTCCCCCCTCCCCTTCCCTGCCTGCCTTTCCGGGGACTGAGCTGGGGACCTGGTCTCAGAGTTGGGCAGTGACACTGGGCAGTGAGGGACGCTGGTCTGGAGAGGGCCACCCAAGGTCAGCGCCCACCCCGTCCAGGGGAAAGTCTCTGTGTGGACGAGAAGTTGTTTTTGTGCATCAGGGCCAGGGGCTGAGGGTCAGGAACACTGAAGACTATTTTTGAAAATATATATTTTTTATTGATTTCAGAGAGGCAGGGAGAGGGAGGGAGAGAGAAACATGAATGATGAGAATCACAGATGGCTGCCTCCTGCACACCCCTACTGGGGCTCAAGCCAGGCGTGTGCTCTGAGCGCTCACCACTGAGCCACGCTGGCCGGGCGAAGACCCTGTTCTTAACGAGGGGGTCTCCCACCGCCCCCATTGGTGTGGCTTCTCCTGGGCTTCCTTGCCCATCCCCTGAGCCTCGCCCCTGCCCCGACCCCCAAAGGCTGAAGATCAGGGTGTCCTTCCTGCCCAGCGGGGCCTCTGGAGGGTGTATGGTCCTTGGAGGCTGAGTGGGGTCTGACAGAACCTGCATTTTTTAGGGTTATTTTGGGGGTGATGCTCGGCAGGTTTGGGGGCCCTCAAACGAGCCTCAGACGCCTGCTTTTCTGAGATCATAGACATGACAGCAGGTCTCCCTCACTTCAGCTCCAGAACCTTCTGTGTGCAGAGCTCGGGGCTGGGTCCTGTGGCCGGGAGACCTGGGGGTCCAGGGAGGGGCGAGTGCTGGGTGCTGACCCCCACCACCCGCCCAGGGCTCTGTCTTGCTCAGGGGCTGCTTGATTCCGGATTGGGGTGAGATGGGGCTGGTCGGGGGTCCCGCATGGGGGTGGGTGTGGGGTGGCCCAGCCCAGGGCACTGAGGTCAGGCCTTGCTGCAGGCCGGTGACGGCGGGGGGGGGGGGGGAGGATGGGGGGGCTGATGGTTGCGGTCCTAGGGGGGGTACAAAAGCTTCCACGTGGAGATAGGCTGCAGGGGGAGGTCAAAGGGGAAGGGGAGGCCGACCCCCACTTCCGGAGTTGCTGGAGGCAGGAGGACTGGCGGAGGGCAGGCCAGTGACTACTGCCGGGCAGTGTGGGCACCAGGGAGGGTGACCCAGGGGGGTGGGGTAGGCGAGATGGGAACGCTCCCCATCTGCGAGGCACCCCTCCCCCCTCAGGCTGTGGGGGTGATAGGCTGGGTCAGTTATGGGGTTGCTGGGGATCTTTGAGCAGAGGATGGCCAGTTCCAGAGGGGGGGGGGCACCCCTGTTAGCCGGGCCTATGGGCGAGGCCTGAATGCTGTGGTCAGTGAGGTGCTGCCCACAGCCGGGTCCTGGGTCCTGGTGGCCCTGGACTTACCACCTTGTGGTCAGAGGCTCCACAAACCTGGTTGGTGGGATTCCAGGGCCAGGTCCCCCTCCCCGCAGGCCTTCCTCTGGCCGGCAGGTCCGGGGCCCGGCAGATGCTTGAAGGCTGCTCTCGGGGTGTCGGCATGCTGACCTTCCCTGCAGCTCCATTCTGCCCCGAGGAGGAGGAGGACGAGCTTCCGCTGCCTCAGCAAAGTCCCGTCCCTCCCCTTCCCTCGGGGTGGGGGGATGAGGAGGGGCGCTGGCCTGTGAAGGCCAGCCTGCAGGGTGAGCAGCCCGCAGGTGACCCAGAATCCCGGGCCGCCTCCGGCCTCCCTGCGTCAGCCCCGGTTCTGGAGGAAGAGATGAAAGGCCGTAGTGTCCGTGACTTTTCAAAAATAACGGTGCCGGAGGAGCGGACAGACGTCCCTCCAGGGCCTGTCCCTGCGCTGGTTCTCCCACCCCGCCCCCACCCACTGCCCCTGCCTCCTGAGGCCTCGTCCTGGACAGGGATGGACACGCTCACCGTCTGCACCGTCCAGGTTTGGGGACCGTTTGAGGAAGCAGACGGGTCTGTGTCCACCTCCCTCAACCCCAACCCCCTCCCCATCCCATTCCCACCCCACCCACCCCTTCCCCCATCCCACCCCATCCCACCCCTCCTCCACCCCCCCCACCTCCACCCCATGACTTTGGGCAGGACTGGAACCTGGTGCCTCAGCCTCCGCTTGCCCCACACCCACTAGGGGGCACTCCCGCCCCCCCACGCCCCCGTGATTCCCCCTCCCCACCCGGCTCTTCTCTTGGGGGCGGGGCCGTGGTGGTGCTGATGTGACTCCCGCGGGCAGTGGTCTGGGCAGTCCACTGACTCGGTTGGTCTTCTGGTTCATCGGTCTCCCGCCTTGGGCTCAATGTCATGTTCCCCGCCCCGTGACCCCCCGCGTCCTCTCGCCCAGGGACATCCTGGTCAGCAGCCTGGACGCTGCCACCACCTTCGAGGAGCTGTGTGCCGACATGAGGGACATGTGCAGCCTGCCCCCGGGCCAGCCGCTCACCCTCAAGTGGGTGGACAGCGAAGGTAGCCAGCCGGGCCCTCCCTAACCCTGTGTGTCCCGGGGCCCGCCCTCTGGGGGTGGAAACTGCCACAGGGGAAGGAGCGGGGGGTGGGGAGGGGGGGGATGTTGGGGGAAGTCTGGCCTGGGCGGAGACTGGAGCCTTTAGAAGGGCAGTGGTGGGGGCAGGTGAGACACCCCGAGAGGACGGCAGGACTCGGCCCCACATGGGCTCCTGGGCCCTCCTGTGGGCGGTTCGGAAGGGAGGGAAGTGCAGTGAGGGCCCTCTCATTCCGTGCTCTCTCTCACTCTGCCTCTCTTCTCTCTCCCTACCTCCCTACCTCCCTCAGGCAGACACAAAGCTGAGGGGGGGACTGTCCAGGAGGCCTCCCTCTCCGGGATGACAGGATGAGGGTGCCTGGCCGCTGGCGGTCAAGGCACGTGGCCGCCGGTTCTAGGCTGTCCGTGCTCCCCGTCCACGATGGAGGGCCAGCGCCTCCCCTTCGGGTGGGACTGACCTAAGGAGCATGCTGGCCCCGGGGCTGCGGCGCGGGGCTGGGCGTGGACCGGGTCTGAGGGGCCTGGCTCCCTCTGCTCTAGGGGAGCGCCCGCCGTTATGGGGACCACTTGGCCTCGGGCCTGAGGGGGCCTCAGCCGTGTGTCTTGCTGCCCAGGTGACCCCTGCACGGTGTCCTCCCAGATGGAGCTGGAGGAGGCCTTCCGCCTGTCCTGCCAGCGCCGGAGCGACGGGCTCATCGTTCACGGTCAGTTCGGGCGGCGGGTGCGGGGGCTCCTGGGGGGGACAGAGCTCTCCAGGGGCCCCTCCCTGCATCTCTGCCAGACCGCCCGGGGGCCTGGGAGCCAGTGGAGGGTCTGGGGTGACGTCCTCGGGCTCCAGGGGTTTGAGGACGTTGAACGTGAGGCACCTCGGGTTTCCTCTCTGACACATCGTTAACCGAGCGAAACGGCCATGAGTGGAGCCGTCCGGAAGCCGTGGGCTCCCGGGCACACGCCGGGTCCTGCTGGGAGCCCGGGGGCTGGCCTCCCCAAGGGTCAGCCCTGCTCACCCGCTGCCTCCAGGTCTCCCCGAGCGGAGGGTCTGGGTGCCCGGTGGGGAGGCAGGCTGGCGGGCGGGCAGAGCAGGGGCCTGTCCCCCAGCACAGCTCAGGGACACACAGACCCACCTTGTGGCTTCACAGGCCCTCCTTCCCTCCGCTGGCTGGACTCCGAGCTGGGTGTAAATTCAAACATCGCCATCATTCCAGCAGAGTCTTCAATGGGCTTGTGCCCGGCTGGCGTGCTCAGTGGTTGAGCATCGACCTATGAGGTCACTGTTCAATTCCCGGTCAGGACACAGCCCTGGGCTGCAGTCTGGATCCCCAGCGTGGGGCGTGCGGGAGGCAGCTGAATGATGATTCCCTCTCATCATGGATGTTTGTATCCCCCTCCCTCCCTCCCTCTCTGACATCAATAAAATATATGTATATTTTAAAAGGTTGGTTTTTATTTTAAGTTGGGGCTTGTCATATTTTCAGATCCCATGGGGTGTCTGTGGGCGTGACAGCCCTGTGATAGATGGGAGCATGAAACTGGTCACGACTTCCTGTCCATTAGTCACTTTCCCTAACCCTGGGCAACTCGATTAAAATACCTTATTTCGGTAGCTCTTTCTCCAGGCTTGGTTTAGATAGGAAAGTTCACCCGATCCCTTTATTACTGCGGTGTGAGTGCATTCATGTGCAGCACGCACAACCATGGCGTTTAAGAATTCCCTGTTGCCCTAACCAGTGTGGCTCAGTAGATAGAGCGTCGGCCTGGGGACTGAAGGGTCTCAGGTTCGATTCTGGTCAAGGGCATGTGCCTTGGTTGCGGGCACGTCCCCAGTAGTGGGTGTGCAGGATGTATTATAACTGGTCGATGAATCTCTCTCATCAATGTTTATAACTCTTCCTCTCTGTAAAATACCAATAAAAATATGTCTTTAAAAAATAAAAATAAGAATTCCATTTTCCAGGTCCAGAGGAAGGTTGTTTTAGTTGGTTCCAGTGATTTCTAAGCTCCTGTTTCAGTGATTTACTGAGAAGGCCCGGGTTCGTGGGACGGTATTTAACGGGGAGCTGGGTCCAGAGACACGGAGTGCAGTGAGCTTCCAGATGCTGGCTTTGACGGGGACGGTGGCCCCCGCCTCTCCGCGCCCCCCTGACTGCCCATGCCTTCGGGTCCTGAAGGAGGGACTGGGGTGGACATGCATGTGCATGGTTCCCAGTCTTTGCCTATTATTTTTTTTAATGATTTCAAAGAGGAAGGGAGAGAGAGAGACGTATCAATGTTGAGAAAATCATGGATCGACTGCCTCCTGCACGCCCCACATTGGGGATCGAGCCTGTCACCCAGGCCTGTGCCCTGACCGGGAATCGAACCTGGGACCCTTTAGTCCGAAGCTGATGCTCTCTCCACTGAGCCACACGGGCCAGGGCTCCTTGCCTTCCTGAGTATCTCCCAGCAGCAGGTGGTCTTCGGCCATCTGGGCTCTGTGCACGTGTGGTCAGCCCGACCTGCCTCCTTCTCCTGAGGCTGTACTGGTGGCTGACACTCGATGCTAACTCTCTCTCCCTCTCCCTCTCCCTCTCTCTCTCCCCCTCCCCTTCCCCTTCCCCGTGCAGTGTTTCCGAGCGCTCCCGAGCAGCCCGGCATGCCGTGCCCCGGAGAAGACAGTGAGTACCGCCCGCCTTGGACATGTTTGCCCGTGAGGGCAGGTGGTGGTCGGTGACGACGGACGGGCGTGAGCGATGGGGCCGCCTGTGGGATTTCCCTGGCCGGTGTTCCTGCGTCCGTGCGTCTGTCCGTGTGTGAGCGTGGCTCTTGGGGAGGCACCGCTGGTCCTGGGAGCGCCCTGATCTTCCCCGGAGGGGAGGGGCCGGGTAGGATGGAGGGCGAGGGAGGCACCTTCCGGCCGTGGCCCAGCCAGGCTCCCCCGGCCAGGAGCTCCGGCCTCAGGGAGGGGCGGCCATGGTATTGGCTCAGCCTCTGCTGTGCTGGGACGAGGGCGTCAGGGGCGCTGAGGATCTGGGCGGCTGCCGGAGGCACAAGTGGTGACGGTGGGGCAGTGACCACATCGCTGGGGGACTTGGAGGCATGTGAGCCTCCCGGTCCCACGCGGCCACAGGAGCGGGCCCTCGGGGCGCTGTGGGCGGCTGAGGCTTTGGGACGCCCCACCCGTGCTGGCAGCTGAGGGCACCAGGGCCAGTGTCTCCCTGGACACGATCCCCGCTCCGGCGCTGGCGTCCCCCGGCCGACAGCCACAGGGGCAGATCGGCCTCATCTCGTTGGTCAGGACGGCAGAGCCTCCTCACGGCTCCCGCTGTTTGGAGGTTGGCGTTCTCTCCGGTCAGGATTTTACTGTTTAAATATTTTCACATTTTACTTGATCTTAATGCTGATCTTGGACAGCCCCGTTCTGGCCACCTGATGGCCACGACACCCACCTTCCTGGTCAGTTTCCGTGGCCTTGGGCAGCTCCACCCAACGCCGAGGGTGTGTGTGAGGGTCCGGGTGGGTGGTAAACGTGTCCCTGGGCCAGGGAGGCCCTCGCCAGGAGGGCACAGCCGGAAGTGGACATGTGGCAGGAACGTGGCTGTGCGTGGCACTTGGGCACATCCGGCTGGGAGGACCGTGTTGCCCAGCCTGGTGGGTCTTCATGTCGGCAAAACATTCCCACATGACCTGTTCAACGCGAACCGAATCGGTTTTACAGTCTGTTCTTTCGTCCTCACCGGGAACATGCTTGTGTTTAGAGAGGAAGGTGGGGGAGAGGAGAGACACACCCTGGGAGAGAGACACGGTCAGCGGCATCCCGTGGGCGCCCTGCCCGCCAGGGCGGGTCCTCGCCTGGTTGGCGTGTGATGACGCCGTCAGGCTGCCTGTGGTTTTCTAGGAATCTCCGCGCCGTGACGGCGGCCACTCCGCTTGCCGCTCTCACTGTCACACTTCCTTCCTGTTTCCTTTGACAGCAGCCACCTGAGGGGTGGGAGGGTGTCTCGCTGGGCTCTGGTTTGTGGCTTTGGTGTTTGTCGAGCTACTTCTGTGTGGGGTGCTTGGCGGGCGGGTCGCCCCTCATCCTGCGGCTTGGTCGCCCGTCCTCCCGGTGCCCCCTCCGTGGCCGTGGCCGTGGCCCTGGTTGGGAACCTGGGACCACAGGTGTGAGGCTGATTTCTGGGCTCGGTCTGTCCGTCCGTCCTCACCACCACGCTGGGGCAGCACCGTGGCTTTGCCGCCAGCTGTGAACCAGGGGCTGTGCCTCTGGGTTGCTTGTTCTTGTTCAAGATGGTTGGCTGCTCGGGGCCCGTGAGGCTCCGTGTGCGTTTAGGAGAGTTTTTCAGTTTATCCGGGCACCGATGGCGCTAAGTCTCTTTTCACTGGAGGTGGGAGCAGGCAGTGGCCGTCTTTCCGCTGATTCGTGTCTTTTGTCCTTTTAGTTTCTGTAGTTTTCATTGTACAAGTTTTCTCGTGTGTGTGTGTGCGCGCGTGCGAGTATGTATATGCGTGTATATATGTGTGTGTTGTGTATATGCGTGTGTGTGTGTGTGTTTATTGTCCCCAGTTTTCAATTTTTAAAATTTTTTGTTAACCTCCCCGAGGACATTTTTTCCTCTGATTGAAAAAATGTTTTATTGATTTTTTTACAGAGAGGAAGAGAGAGTGATAGAGAGTTAGAAACATTGATGAGAGAGAAACATCTATCAGCTGCCTCCTGCACACCCCCTACTGGGGATGTGCCCCCAACCAAGGTACATGCCCTTGACCGGAATCGAACCTGGGACCTTTCAGTCTGTAGGCCGACGCTCTATCCACTGAGCCAAACTGGTTTCGGCGCTGGCTCCCTTTTGTTTGGGCTCTTGCCTGGCTGCTCTGGCTGGGGCCCGGAGCGTGTGCAGTGGAAGAGGTGAGCTTGGGTACCTTCCTCGTATCCGTGATCCGAGAGGAGAAGGCCAACCCTTCCCCGTCGACGTGTTTGCTATGGGTTATCCACATGCAGCTGTCGTCACGTGGAGGTACCCCCCTTCTGTGGCATCATACATGTGCTGCCCAGCCCATGTGGCTCCGTGGCCGAGCATCGACCTATGAACCAGGAAGTCACAGTTCAAATCTCAGTCAGGGGCACATGCCCGGTTGCAGACTCAATTCCCAGTAGGGGGCATGCAGGAGGCAGCCGTTCCGTGATTCTCTCATCATTGATGTTTCCCTCTCTCTCACCCTCTCCCTTCCTCTCTGAAATCAATTACAAATAAAAGAGCCCTGGCTGGTGTAGTCTCAGGTTGCAGGTTCCTCCCTGGCTTTGTGCTGGGCTGTGCGCTGGTCACTTCCACGTTTCTCTGCCTCTCCCTCTCCCTTCCACCTCAAACTGTCAAGGGAGAAATTGCCTCAGGTGAGGACTAACAAACAAAACAACCAAAGGCGTGCTGTCTTGTCTGTCTGTCTTGTCTGGATGGCCTCAGGGGGGCTGCTCACCACTCCTGGCTTCCAGTCCCTTCCCTCCCCTTAGGGGAGAGGCCGGAGGAGAGGGGAGGGGAGGGGAGAGGTGAGGAGCAGGGGAAGGTGGGAGGGGAGGAGAAGGAATAGGTGGGAAGGGAGGGGTGACCTCCAGTGACCAGCTGTTCACGCTGTCATTCGTCATTCCGGGGGCAAGCAGTGGAGATGGGTGAGTGGGGCCCTGAGGACACGGGAACCTGCGCCCTTTCCCCTCGCCGGCGTCCTCACGGAGTCGTGTCCGCGTGTCCAGTTCTGCGAGCGGAAGGTTGGAGCCTGGAGGGGGTGGTGGTTGGAAGCACAGGTGCCCTGGGCTGGTGTCTGACTGGGCGGGACGGGGGCGGAGGTGGTGGTCGGGGGGACAGCTACCAGGACGGAGCCCTCTCCTGCAGGACAGGAGGCCGTCCCCGGGGAGACAGCGTCAGGAGGGAGCGGTGGGGTCACAGGAGGGAAACACACGCAGCACCTCCTGCCTCTGGTTTGTTGGGTGTTTGTACCGCGGAAGGGTTTTCACTGTTGGTGACATTTCGTGTCGGTGACGTGATCGCGTGGTGTCTCCTGTGCCCGTGAGCGTGGAGCGTCAGGTCTGCTCCTCGTGTGTTGGGCTGCCTTTGGGGGTCCCCCCTTCGTTAGCATGTAGCCCCCTTGTCAGCGTGCGGCCGGTTCTGTGAGGCTGGTCGCTCCCCGGGCTCCGTCGGGTTTGGTGCCAGGCATGCTGGCCCCCTCCACCTCGCGAATCCACATGCTCTCCTCCTCGGAGTGGGAGACTGCGACACTGAGACGGGTTTGTGTTGCTTCTTTAAACAGTGTCCAGAACTTAGGGAAGGGAGAGGAAGAGAGAAACATCAGTGGTGAGAGAGAACCATGGATAAGCTGCCTCCTCCTGCAGCCCCACACGGGATGGAGCCTGCAACCCAGACCTGTGCCCTGACCAGGGATCGAACCCTGACCTCCCCCTAAGGCTGCTGTGTGCTTCCCTCCCCTGGCCACGCAGGGTCTGCGCCCACCGGCACGTGTGTCCGTGTCATTTCTACGGGCCTTTGGATGTTGCTGTTTGGTTTTATTCAGCCAATGAAGCGGCTGGCGGGCTGGGAAGCCTGGTCGCCCTGCGTTTCCGGGTGATGGACATGGGCCTCCCGAGGGGCATCTGAGGGTGCTCATGTCCGGGGTGAGGGGCTGTGCCCGCTGCCCGAGCGTAGGAGGAGGCCGCCGGGAGCTCCAGGCTGCACGGGAGCGGGTGGGAAGCGGGCGGGGAGCGGGCGGGGGAGCCCAGAGCTCAGTCAGTGCCTGTGCCGCAGACACAGACGGTGGATTTGGGAGCCTGACACCTGCTCCTCACCGATCCTCATCAATGGGAGGGGGTACAGCCCAGGTGCCCCAGCCTCTGCCACGGCAGCTGGTGTGTGTCACCCGTGGGCATGGACGGCCCCTCACTTCCCACGTCCCCAGGGCGACGCCTGCGTTTGGAGGGACACAGGCTTGGGCTTGACGGGGCCTGGGTTTGGGGGAGACGCAGGGCGTTCGGCGAGGCTGAGGGTCTGCTCTGGGCACTCCTCGGCCAATGGGGCATGTGAGGTCTTGCGTGGGGCCAGGTTCCCTCCCCCACCCCAGGGTGTGGGATGTGACCACAGCCCGACACCCATTTTCACCACCTCACATGGGGGCACCCCTTACTACCCTTCCCAGTGCCCTCCACCTCCATCCCCAGCCTAGAGCAGTGGAAACCTCAGAAGGCCACCTGACCGGGTTGAAGCACATTTGACAGGACCCATGGCTCTGCCCCCTCACCTCGGTCCCGGCTGGGAACCTGCTCACCCCTCCCCTGTCCCCCCCGCCGGCCCCTCAAGCATCTTTGTTGCCTTGTTGGGTCTCTTCTCAGCCTCTGGATATAGGTCAGAGGTCACTCGCACTTGGGTGGCCGCTGTGTCCCTGCATCCTGGCTCCATCCCCTAGGCCCTGCATGCGTGGCTCTCGGGGGCCCAGCCACCCCCTCTCAGCCACTGCCCGCCGCCCCGCTCCACGGACAGAGGATGGGGACAGGACGCCTCGGTGCGAGATGCTGTGTCCGTGTGACGTCAGCTCCTGACATCCAGGCCGTGTTTTCGCTGGTGCTCGGCTGCCGGCTCCAGCTTCCCAGGGGAGCCGGGTACCACCCGGGCCTGGAGACACGCGGAGGCAGGGATGTGAG